ATGATCCCCAGGAGAACTGTACAGAAGACGGGTGGCCAAGCCACTTTGGGGTGTCTGGGAGGCTGCTTATGGGAAGCTTTAGCTCAGCTAAGACCCACCCACTAGTGCTCAGGAGGGAGCTCTGAGGTGAACGCAGTGTTCTGGGTCTTCTATGGGTGCGGGACTCACGGAGCATATGCATTTGTCCGAACTTGGGGAGCAATCCTCTTAAGATGTGTGCAAGTCCTGAGTGTAAATCTGATCTTAGGCAAAAAGAACCCTCAGTAAATATTGAATCATTGATAATCGTCCATGTTCTCAAGCATTGAGGATGACATGTGCTGATGTGTGCAACTTACTTTCAAATGCATAAGAAATAAGATGGATTGATGGATGAGTAAAGGGAGGGGAAGGCAGGAGGCGGAACAACAAAGTGTCATCTGTAGCATCTAGGTGACAGGCCAGGGAGTATTCACAGCATAACTGTTGCAACTTCACTGTACATTAGAACATTGTCCTAAAAAGATGCCATGGAAAGAGAATAGTGCCACTAAACACACACACCAGTGGGACTTTTCTTAAAAAGGTGGGCAATCTCAAGTGTTGGCAAGGTTGTGGAGTAGCTGCTAGGAGCAGTGTGAGTTGATGTAACCGGTTAGGGAAAGACTTGGCAGTAACGACTGGAGCTGAATGTGTTCAGGCCCTGCGGCCTAGCGGTCCCATTCCTAGGGCCACACCCAACAGAAATGACCAAGTGTGTCTCCCAAAAGGAATGCGCACAGACCTCCCTGGCAGCTCTTTGGATCATAGCCGCAAATGGGAAGGGAGCCAAGTGCTCAATGCCAGGAGTGTGGGGACTCCCTGCCCACCTGCAGGACCAGTGAAAACCCCACGTGGTGTCTGTGTAGGGCACTGAGCTTGGGGGACTGTGCTGCCCAGCCACACACAGGCATATTGTGTGTGTATGCACACGACAGGAAAACTGTGACTGAGAAGTGAAATGTGCGCAGCACTTGTGTGAATGGGGACCGTGGGGGTGTTCCTTTGTCTCTCCTGGGGGGCAGGTGACACGGTGGTGAAGGACATGGAGTCTGAATCCAGACCGTCCGGGGCAAGTCCCGGCCCTGCTGCCCAGCAGCTCTGTGCCCTTAGGCAAATGACTGCAGCTCTCTGTGCCTTGGCGGCCACATCTCTACAGCGGGAATAGCACCTGTGCCTCCCTGCTGGGACTATTATGGAATGGATATATGTAGAGAGCACTTGGTAAGGATTCACTCTCAGTACTTGTCTCTTCAAGCTTTGCATGGTAAACCTGCATTACTGTTGATATGTGTGTATATTTTAAGAGGCCACTGGGAAAGATCAGGGAAGAAGCAGTAACTGCTGAGGTGTTTGCCTAGGTGGGAGGAGGACTAGGGACAACTGGTGTTTATTGAGAAAATACTCTGCACCAGGCACTGTTGGATCTACTGCTGCCACCATTTTGCAGATGAGGGGAAGGAGCACAGAGAGGTGAGGGGACTGACCTGAGAACACACAGCCAGTGACCGACAGGCAGAGCCGGGGCTTCCATGGCAACAGGAGTGTCAAGCAGGCTCTGGAGGGGACGGGGGAACCCCGTCTAAGAACCTGCTCAGCACCCACTGTATTTGCAGCCTGGGTGGTTACTGTTCAGCAGCGAGTGAAAGCATCTCTATTTGGGTGTCCTTGGGAGTACCTGAGGGTCTCAGAGGAAGCTTTGCAGCGGAGCTGGATGTTTGACACCTCTGACAAGGCGTGGCAAAGCCTACATTCCACATGGCCCCTTCCAACATCAGTCCCTGGAGCCTGCTCAGGTGATTACACTCCTAGTCCCATCCCTAAATTGCCCCAGAGGAGGATTTTCTGCCGGGACTTTGCATGCCGTAGTTCTCCAGTAGCCAAATCATCCAATAAATTAAGAAAGCTGATTGTGACCTTTTACTGTCCATGGACCTGAGCTTAGACTAATGAGAGACATGAGAAGTGGCCACTGGTGCAGTTAGCCAAGGCCTAAACACTCGGAGGAGAGAAGGTCTCATCACCAGAGTGTCTAGCCCTCAGAGCTGAGCTGGGGGATGGTCAAGTTTGCAGACCCAGAGCCAAATGCACCTGTAGAGGGTTGTCCTGGCAACAAACAGGTTGGTCCAATCCCCAGTCCCCAGCTACATTGCCACCTCTGCCCTGGGTGCCCCAGTCACGCTGGCTTCCTACTGCCCAGAAGGCTTCGGGGCCATTTCCTGTGGTCACACCCAGACCACGGACCCCACCGGACCCCCCTCCTGCAGAAGCTGCCTGTGATCCCTGAGCCGCAGGTGGGCGTGGACAGCAATGATCATGTCCCTCCTTTGTGCCTGTGAACAAGTGGCTGTACTGTGGCTAGTTAGGTCCCTGTCTCATCTCCCCAGCTGGACAGCGAGGTCCTCACAGTGTGGACGTCTGTGTTCGCTCCATCGCTGTGACCCAGCGGGGCTTGGCCAGGTAGCTGGCACGGGAGCTTCCCAGAAGGAAACCCGAAGTGCAAAGGCACGGAGGTGTGATGGCATCTGTGGCAAACTGGGCGATTCCGTGTGGGCAGTACGAAGGCCTGGATGGGGCATGTTACAAGTCAGCAGGGGGACAGATCACCGAAGCACCCCAAATTCCACTGAGGACCTGAGACTTGTCCTGCCACTATTTGACCATCCTCGACCTGTCCTGCTGGGACTCATTACCTCTACCACGCTCTCTGCACCTGTCCGAGAGCCCGCGGTCCCCACAGGCTGGCAGCCTCCCAGGGCAGAGGGCGGGACCTCCCTAGATACTGTCTTCCCAGCCTGGGCCTGGCACCACAGTGTCCACAACTCTCTGCAGAGAAAACTGATGCATGGACTAGCAAATACAGATTACGGCGATGACTGCTACCTGCCCTCCAAGACCCCACACTCCCCTCTTCCTTAGGGAAAGAACCCCTGTTTTCTATAGCGTGGTAAACTGCACAGAGAAAATATTTCTCAGCTTCTCTTAGAGCTAGGAGTGACTAATGGGCAACCTCAGATCAACAAAACTTAGCTGGAAATTGTTCTTCTCAACTTCTGGTAAGGCTAACAAAGAAAACTAGGTCAGCTGAGAGCCCAGTGCATTCTCCTTCAGGGTACGACGGGGAATGCAGCGCTGAAAGTTACAGCTGCAGCAACCATTGTGCACTGTGGGGCGACCTAGAGGATGCGAGCCACATACTAGGATGATAGAGTGGAAAGACAGAACCTGGATCCCTTGTGAATATAGAGCAGCCAGACCAGCCCTGTATGAAACCTCATGTGTGACAGACAAGTAAACTTCCCTGTGGGTTAAGCACCTGTGACTTTGGGTTTTGTTGTTCCCTGTGCATATCCTTGGTCTTAACTGCTATCAGGGTACGAAAAAAAAAAAAAAAAAAACTAACAGATTATTTTTGGACAATAATTCTTTCCCACATATAGGACACACCCTGTATCCTGTATCCACGTCAAGAAACAGATTCCCGGCACCCCAAAATCTCCAGGAGCCCCATGTGATGTCCAGCCTGTGCCCCAGGGAAACCAGCACCCTGACATCTAGCAGCACAGCTCGCCGTTGCTTGAATGCTGCACTTTCTATAAAGGGAATCACTGAGGATAAACTCTTGTGAACCTGGCTTCCTCCGCTCAGTGATGTTCTTGAGATTCCCACTGGTTGGACATGGCACATCCTTTACCCTCATTTCTATGCCTCATGCCACTGTGGGAATACAGAGCAATGGATGTACCCATGCTACTGTGCACACTTCGGCTCCTTCCAGTTTGGGGCTCTGATCCACAGGCTGCTAAAAACATCTGTCCACCTTCCTTTTCGGGGCCATTACTTAGGCACTTCCTTTGAGTGTATCCCTAACAGTGGGACTCCTAGGCCATCGGGCGCACATGACTACTGCCAGATATCTTTCTCAAAGTGGTTCCATCGATTGAAACTGCTACTAACAGTTGCCCTGCCTTTATTTTCCATCAGTGTGTTTTAATTGAATTTTTAAAATCTTATTTATTTTGATTCTCATAAAATATACATAGCAAGAAAACCTCCCACCTTTGCACTTTTACATGGAGAGTTCAGAGGCGTGAAGCACACACACATTGTTTTGCGAGCATCACCACCGTGTATCCACACAACTCATCTCATAACCTGCAACTCGGTACCCAAGAAGCAATAACTCCCTAATTTCCATACTCCTCGGCACCCACCCTTCTACTTCCCGTCTCCATGAATTTGACTAGTCTGGGTACCTCATATAAGTGAAATCAGACGTGTTCACCTTTTGCGACTGGCGTATTTATTCACTCAGCATGATGTCCCCAGGTTCCTTCCTGTGGTAGCATGCGTCAGAATCTCTTTTCTTTGTAAGGCTGAATAACAGAGTCCTTTGTATGTTTCAACCACATTTGGTTCATCCATTCATCACTGGTGAACACTTGGGTTGCTTCCACCTTCCGGCTACTCTGGAGAGCACTGCTATGAATGTCGGTGGACAAACAGGTCTTTGAGATTGTGCTTTCAGTATATACTGAGACGTGGGATTGCTGGATCCCATGAGACTTCTGTCTAATTTTCTGAGAAACATGCATACACTTTTCAATAACAGTAACACCATTTTACCTTCCCTCCACTAGTGCACAAGAGTTCCAATTTCTGCACATCTCCACTGACTCTCTTTGTTCGTTTTGTTTTCAGACACAAGCTCACTCTTGCCCTGGCTAGAGTGCCATGACGGCAGCCTAGCTCACAGAAACCTCAAATTCCTCGGCTCCAGGGAACCTCCTGCTGCCTCATCGTCCTGAGCACTGGGACCATACTCACTTGCCACCACGCCCGGCTGATTTTTGTTTGTTTGATTCTATTTCTAATTGCTGGATATTTTTTTCTTGTTTCAGTAGCGACAGGGTCTCATTCTTGCTCAAGCAGGTCTCGAACTCCTCACCTCGAGAGATCCTGCCACCTCAGCCTCCCAGAATGCTAGAATTACAGGTATTAGCCACCATGCCTGGCCACCAACACTTACTGTTTTCTGTTGTTTTATGGATAGTAGCCACACTCAGGAGTGGAAAGTGTGTTTTCATTGTGGTTCTCATTTGCATTACTCTGATGACTAGTGATGCTGAGCATCTTTTCATGAGTATGTGGCCATTTGCATATCATCTTTGGAGAAATCTATTCAAGTCTATTGTTTAATTGCGCTATGCATTTTATTATTATCTGTATGTATGAGTTCTCTACATATTTTAGATGTGAACCCCCTATCAGGTGTATGATTTGAAGGGATTTTCTCCCACTCCATAGGTTGCATTTGGCTCTGCCATGTCCTTTGATACACAGGGCTTTTGGATTTTGATGTGGTCTAATTTACCTACTTTTAATTTGTAGCCTGTGCTTTTGGGGTTATATCCAAAAAACCAATGCTGAACCCATTGTCTGAAGCTTCCCCCATAATTTTCTTCTTGGAGTTTTATAGTTTTAGTCCTTAACATTTAGATCTTCAATTTGCTGAGAGTTAATTTTTCTGTATGGTGTTATGTTAGTGTCCAACTTCATTCTCTTGCATGTGGATGTTCAGTTGTTCCAGCACCATTTGCTGAAGAGATTGTCCTGAACGTTCCTGGCCCTCTTGTCAGAAAGCATTTAGCCATCTGTGATGGTCATTTCTGTGCTCAATGTTCCACTCCATTGCTCTGTGAGTCTGCCCATGCCAGGGCCACCCTGTTTTAATTACAGGAGCTTGTAATGAGCTTTGAAAACAGGAAGTGTAAAGGCCTCCAACTTTGTTCTTTTTCAAGATCGTTTTGTTTATTTGGGGTCTTCTGAGCTTGCATATGCCTGATAGTTTGCTAAATTTCCTTTAGTTTTTAGAGTTCTTTTGTGGAATCTTGTGTTTTGTACATATGGGATCATGGCTTTTGCAAAGTGGTAACTTTACATCTTCCTTTTCAATTTGAGTGTCTCTTATTTCTTTGTCTTGCCTAATTGCTCTTTCAGTTGTTGGCATGACCACATCACGCGTGTTCGCATTGTGTGTGCAAAAACATCAACTAATCATAGGATCGTTTGGCATAGTTAGTGTATTAGATCATGTCCAAAACAAAAATAGTACTAGGTTTTATAATGGTCCACGTATTTACCTTTACCAGAGGTCTTTATTTCTTCATGACACTTTGAGTTCCTGTCTGGTGTTCTTTGTTTTCAAGCCCAAGGACTCCCTTCAGTGCAGGCAGGGCTGGTGGTACTGAGCTTCTGGTTATCTGGTAGTGTCTTAATTTCTCTGTCATTTTTGAAGCACAGTTTGTGGGATTTGGGCTCTTGGTTGAGAGCTTTATTTTTTCTTTCTTTCTTCTAAGACTTTGAATATTTCAACCTACTGACTACTGGCCCCCAAAGTTTTTGATGACGAAGCTGATGATGATCGTTTGGGGGAATTATGACGACGTTTATCTCTCTGGCAGCTCTACAGATGTAGATAATGGACTTTATTGTGTGTCCCACAGCACAGAACCCATTTTTACATTATGATGATGTCAGCTGTGTTGAGGCATCACCCTGACATCAATCAGAATTTAAAGAGAAGTCATTGAATATTTCAAGGATACACATGATGGGGTCTTTAAAAGCCTGAAGTTATTACGGATTTGCAAACTATAAATGGAAAGGTCCCTGAAGCATTGTACAGGTTTAAATTCCGAATACACTAAATATCCACGTCTATAACCATGTAAACAAAGAACACTAGCTTTCTTACATAGGAAAATATTCTTGCCACCAAAAAATGAAAGAGCTACTGTAGTGTAGGTTTTACCCAGCCATGATTGGCCCATTTCTTACTCTGACCTCATAAAGAGCCATTGTTCCCAAATTCCCAGCACCTATATAAGCCCCTGGCTGGGCCTAGGGTTTCGGTCCTTATTGCCCGGTAAGCTGCTTTCTAGTGACCCGTGGTATGTGACTATAGTGATATTGCGTTTTCCTTCTTAGTGAGTATTGTCAGTGTAGTTAATATAATTAGCATTGTTGGTTAGTTGTGTTAATGTAAGATAGTTAGTAGCTTGTTAATTTTGTTACCGTACAGCAGCTAATGCTGCTCGTTAGCAGCATTAGCGTAGTGTAGTTAATATTGTTTTCTCTTCACATAGTATCGTTAGTACTGTTCTTTTGTAACGTTGGTATTATTAGTATTCTTTGCCTATTTAGCATTATTTCTTAATATCATTAGTGTAGTTCATATATATTGTATCATTATATCCTTTATTACACTTATATATTATATATTCAATATAGACTGTGAGTACTGTTAGCGCCCTAAACCTAGTTGGTATAGCTGGGTGTACTGACTAGTTACTCAGCACAGTGAGTGTACACTGAGCGCAGAGGCCACCATGGCGCAGCGGCTGCCCATGAAGAAGTTCGGTGACTATAAGTTCCTCAAGCACGTTAGCTCTGGCCCGAACAGCCAGGTGTTTCGGGGTGTGCACGTCCCCACGGAGACCAAAGTGGCAATAAAACTGGTGTCCCGGAAGAACCACCCCAGCCTGGAAAGGCTCCACAGAGAGGCCGACGCCCTGAGGTCCGTGGCTCATGAGAACATCATCATGCTTCTGAACATCCTCAAGAATGAAGACAGTGTGGCCTTGGTGACGGGCTTCGTGGGCGGCGGGAGCCTCTTGGAATACATCAGCAAACAGCAGCGCCTGACCGAGCAGGAGGCCCGCCCCATATTCCGCCAGCTGATGGAGGCAGTCGAGCACTGCCACCAGCAGCACCTGGTCCACCGCGACCTGAAGCCCGCCAACATCCTGCTGGACAAGGAGGGGAATGTCAAACTCGCTGCCTTCAGCGTGGCCACAGCCTTTCGTGAGGAGGATTACCTGAACACCTTCTGCGGAACCCCAGCTTTCATGGCCCCTGAAATGCTACGCCGGGAGAAATACGTGGGGCCGGAGGTAGACATCTGGAGTTTGGGCATCGTGCTGTACAACATGATAACTGGGCATGTCCCATTTTCCGGCGTCAGCTGGGAGGAACTGAGAACCAACGTCACCCAGGGGACCTATGAGACCCCTGATTACTTCTCTAAAGAGCTGAAATCATTTTTGGAGAGGTTTCTCACCGTGGATGCCAAGTTGAGGCCCACCATTTGTGAACTCATGCAAGACACCTGGATCCAGACCCAGGACCCACCGAAGCCGCCCAGGAAACGCACAGGGTCTGCGAGTCATCACCACAGGCTGGGGATTCCCCGTTATCCGATAATCCCCGAGAATTGCCCTGCGGCCTCCATGTTCATCCAGAAGAGCAGCTGCGAAGACGAAGATGAAGAAGTAGACAGCTTTCTCGAGAATGAGCTGCTAGAATATGAGCTCTCTGCCGAGTCTGAGAAGCCAGAAGATGACAGCTCTGAGCAGGCCGGGCAGCCACATGAGAAGACCAGGACCCCTTCCGTGGAAGAGGACCAGGCCCCGCAGGGGCTCGCTAGGAGTCTCGGCGACTTCTTCCGAAGCATTTGCTGCTTCTTGCCGCCCAGGAAGACCTGCCCTCCGCCCAGGAGGAGGTGGCTGCGTTCCAACAAGGTGGTGCCAGTGACGAAGGACAGCTGAAGAGCCACGGCAAGTATGTGGGGTGGTGCAGCCACGCTTCCTGCATCTTTTGCTATTTAATACGGTCTTGCCGACATTATTTTTAATAGACGAGTCACAGGTGTATTCATGTCTGCGGTGCAGTGTGAAGTTTAGGCATATGCACACAATGTGGACTGGTGACGTAAAGCTAATCAACGTATCCGTCACCTCAGACAGTCAAATGCAGCTGAAGTCACTTGTTGGGTCGGCACAGCTGACTTCATGGAGGTAGAGCAGCTGGATGGCGACGAGAGGCTGGGGTGGCAGAGGGAGGGCACGGGTAGTGGGTCGCAGGGCACGGAGTTTCAGGCAGCTGAGAGGAAGAAGCCCTGATGTGTGTTGCACAGCAGGGTGCAAGAGTCAATGAGAATGTCCTCTACATTTCAGAATACCTGAGAGTCCCCTTCTCATGTCTCCTTGCCTTTAGCACGGAGAGCAAGAAGACCCCGAGCTCCCGGCCTCTTGACATCATGGCGTGGGAGGTGTGCCGAGTGTGGACCCACAGCTCCGGGTGGAAGTCGCCCAGAAGCAGCCTGTGGAGCGGACTCGCAGCTCCAAGGTGGGCAGGGGAGCTGGCCGGAAGCAGCCGCAGCCTGCAGAGGCATCCGAGCACGGTATTGTGAGCTACAACAAGGCCTGGAGCCCTGGAGACAAGAGGGCCCCTCCGCCCCCACCGGGTCCCCCTTGTTTTGCCCAGTGTGTATTTTATTTATGCTTAAGAGCCCAGTGAGCCTCACCCAGTACTGTTTTCCTGAAAATCCATCCCTAGGCTGGGTGCAGTGGTTCTCACCTGCAATCCTAGCATTGTGGGAAGCTGAGGCAGGTGGACTGTTTGAGCTCAGGAGTTCTAGACCAACTTGAGCAAGAGTGAGACCCTGTCTCTACTGAAAAAAAAAAAAAAAAGAAATTAGCTGGACAACTAAAAATATATAGAAAAAATTTTCCAGGCATGGTGGCACATGCCTATAGTCCCAGCTACTGGGGAGGTTGAGGCAGAAGGATTGCTTGAGCCCAGGAATTTGAGGTTGTGGTGAGCTAGGCTGACACCACGGTACTCTAGCCAGGGCGACAGAATAAGTCTCTGTCTCAAAAAAAAAAAAAATCCATCCCTGGCTCTCACCCCTTCGCTAATGCTTGTTTTTTTGTTTGTTTGTTTGTTTGTTTTATGTCATCACACATTATGATGCAAATATGGGGAATTCAAATATATTTAAAGTAGTTTGTGAAGTAGCTTCATGTCTAGGGACCCACAGTTCCTATTCTCTGGAAGCTTTTGTCCTTCTGAGCTCTTCTGAACTTGCAAGCTCCTTGTTAGGTTGGCTGGCCTATGTTCTTGGCTCATTTTTATCTCAAGGTTTCAATGGATCATTTTGTTAAGGCGGGTAGAATGTTCCAGATTGGTATTCTACTTCCTTTCAGTTCTTTCTTGAGAACAGATGGATGTTGAAGGATCCGATAAACCTGTCTTGTCTTGTTAGTTGACTTTCTGCAATTTCCAGAGCTGAAGACACAGGGAGAAACTGAATTGCAGTGTCCTGGATTCTGAAGTTTCTAGGTATGAATCCTTCTTGTATCAGCCAGGAGAAAGAAGTGAGTGGAGAACTAACTGCATTTTAGCCTATTGCTTTCTTTTATATTGCTTCAATCCACTGGACATGTTTGAAGGGCATATTCTATTTGATTCAGAGACAAGTAGTGTGAGCATTGCCTTCGGTCTAGGGTAATCATAAATTTGTTTGGAAGGTCACTCCTGTGAAATCTTGCATCATTGCTGTTGATTTTTCTGATTACAAAACAGGCCGAGGGAAGATTTGGAGGAGATTTGGAGAACTTAACTTTTGCAAACGATACCTTTTTCTGTTGTTTTTGGCTCTGGTTTTAAGTTAGAGGTTGTATACGTGAAGAAAAGTGTGTGTAAAATAATGATATAGAACTTGACATTGAAAGCTTCCTTGGGTAAGAAAAGAAAGAACTGCAGTGGATGATGAAATTTCCTTATATTTCCTATTGAAAAATTTATTGTGATAGAAAATTATAAAATTTTTTTCAAGAGTAATAGTGTTGTACTTAAAATGGAGAAACCTAGAGAATGGGATTATCAAAAAAGGCATAATGAGAATTTCCTCAATGCTTAGCCTGATTGATTAGTTCAGTTGATTTAGATGCCACTGCACAGTGATTTATGGTGTTTGTATTTCTTTTAAAAGAGAAACTATAATGAATTATATGTGACTTTCTAGACTTTGGGTATTGGGCTCTATAGATTCTTAGATTCAGCAGGTCTAAATCTTTAAAAAGCCAAAATGCATTAAAAAAAAACAGGGACTTGACATCTACATATTTATATAGCTAATTTTTCCTAAAAATATATGATGTATTTGCAGTAGGTGAGTTCTGGCTTTATCCATCATTCATCACAATATGTGTAGAATATAGCGAGATCAGTTACAATAGCAAAAAATTAATAGCTATCTAAATTTGCCCTTAAAGTCATAATTGAATTATTGCCTTGGTTCCCAACCCCTGCTCTTATCCATATGCTTATAGGAAAATTGGAAATATTTTACTTCTAACCAACTTGATTTTCACCCTAGGAGGTTATCTTTTGTATTTTAAATTTTCCCTTGGCAGTTTGATTCTCTATGGGAATAGTTCCCTGAAAGGCAGATCGTTTACTGCTTTGAAATCAGAGACCGGGTCTCAATTCTATTTATGAACGTGAGCAGGTGGCTCAGCCTCCCATTTCTGAAACGGGGGGAGTAATAGCTGCCCTACTTGAGTAAGGTAATGTTTGGGAAATCACCAGACCGTCTGGTGCAAGTCCCGGCTCTGCTGTCCAGCAGCTCTGTCCCCTTAGGCAAATGACTGCAGCTCTCCGTGCCCTGGCTGCCTTCTCCACAGTGGAAATAGCAACTGTGCCTCCCTGCTGGGATTGTTATGGGAATGGATGTACGTAGAGAGCACTTGGTAAGGATTCACTCTCAGTACTGTGTCTCTTCAAGCTTTGCATGGTAACCTGCATTACTGTTATAAGCAGAAAGTCTATATGTGTGTATATTTTAAGAAGCCACCGGGACAAGATCTGGGAAGAAGTAGAAACTGCTGAGGTGTTTGCCTAGGTGGGAGGAGGACTAGGGACAACTGGTGTTTATTGAGAAAATACTCTGCACCAGGCACTGTGGGATCTACTGCTACCACCATTTTGCAGATGAGGGGAAGGAGGCACAGAGAGGTGAGGGGACTGACCTGAGAACTCACAGCCAGTGACCGACTGGCAGAGCCGGGGCTCCCTGGGCAACCGGAGGGCTGAGCGGGTTCTGAAGGGGAAGGGGTGCCCCGTCTAAGAGCCTGCAGTGGTGAGTCCGTGCCTAGCCGGCCTCAAGGTCTTCTTTGTCTCCATTCTAAAGGCCAGGAGACAGGTGAAGGGGCCTCTCTGGTATTTTGAATTGTGCAGAACAGTCTCATGGACTCTTGCCACCTGCTGTGCAACACATGTCAGGGCTTCTTCCTCCTGTCTGTCTGAAACTCTGAGCCCTGTGAGCAGCTTTCCAGGCCCCTTCTCTGCCTCCCCGGCCTCTCCTCACCATCAAACTCCTCTACTTCTATGAGGTCAGCTTTGCAGAGTCAACAGGGAAGTGACATCACACTGCATTTGCTTTCTGACATGACAGATATGTCAATTAGCTTGATGTCACAATCACATGGTGCACATATACCTAAACTTCACATCGTACCTCGGGCATGTCTGCAGCTATGTCTTGTCTATTAAAAGTGATATGAATAAAGCTATAATAAATAAATTAGATGCAGGAAGTGTGGCCAGACTGTCCCACGTACTTGTGTCTCTGCTTCTGCTGTCCATGGCTGTTGTCAGCACCAGCGTGTTTGCCGTTTGTGGCGGAGGTTTTGGGCTGGCAGGAAGCAGCATATTGTCAACCTGAGATTGGCAAGTCTCCTGGTGAGCTTCTGCCAGAAGAGGAACTGAAATTGCAGAATATTTTCAGTACTATTAGGCTAATATTCAGACAAATCAGAACAAATAAAAGTGCTACTATTTATTCCTTGATCACCCTCCTTCATGTTTTCATTTCATTTTTTAAATCTTCCAGAGAATTAGAACTATAGGACCCTAGAAACAAAGTTACTTCACAATTAATTGAAATGTATTTGGATCTCCCATATTTGGGTCGTAACCTGTGATGACATAATAAAGCGAAACATAAACAACAACAACAAAAACCAGGCATTGCTGAAGAGAGGTGAGAGCCAGGAAAGGGGAGGGAAGGAAGGAAGGAAGGAAGGAAGGAAGGAAGGAAGGAAGGAAGGAAGGAAGGAAGGAAGGAAGGGAAGGAGGGAGGGAGAGAGGGAGGGAGGGAGGGAGGGAGGGAAGGGAAGAGGGAGGGGGAAATGGAAAGGAAGACAGAAGGGAAGACTAAGATGGCAGGGAAGATTAGGATATGGGAAAGAGGAAGGGGGATAGGAATGGAGGGAAATAGGAGGGGAGGGAAGTGATTTTAAGGACAGCAGCACTGGGTGACCGCTCACTGGGCTGTTAAGCATAAAGAAAATGGGGAACCAGGGGACCCACTGGGAAAGGAGGGGCCCTCTTGTCTAAGGGCTCCAGGCCCTGCCACAGCTCACTCAGGTGTGGCTCCGACGCCTCTGAAGGCCTGTGTGTTCCCCTCTCCCACCCACAGGTGTCACCTGCAGGTGCCAGTGTGCTGCTTGCTCTCCGTGCTTCAGCTTTGGCCACCACCACCGCCTTGTTTGCCTGTTTGCAGCGGACGCGTTGGGCTGGCAGGAAGCAGTGAAGTTGCCACGTCTCCTGGTGAGTTCCGAGGCCTGGCCGTCTTTAGAGCAGGAGGTTGAGATCTTCCACTCCGGCGGCCCCCCCTGGTGGGAGTCAGATTCCCTGGAAATTTCGTGGGGACATGTGCCTCCTCCTGGCTGTCTGCCATGGCAGCAGGGCACCCTGCTGGGACAGGGACTCAAGTGTGGGCTGCCACTGTGCTTTCCTGGTCTCCGCTGGCATTCCTGATCTCCTCTGGCATTCCTGATCTCCTCTGTGCTTTCCTGGTCTCCGCTGGCATCTCCTGCCCATCCACCTGCCCCCCATCATTTGAAGGAGCGTGGGCCTCTCTGTGGGGTCAAGTTCAGGAACTTTCGCAGAAAGGTTTTCAGCTCTCAGTGTTGCAGGTGGGATGTTGCTAGAAGGTTCCCTGAGTTCTCTCCATCCAGATGGAAGAGTCCTGGCTATCATGGCATGGAGGACAAACCCAGGCTCCACACTCCTCCCACTAGGCCCATGTTGTCCTTGTTCAGGTAATTCTGGGCCACAGAAGGTGTCCACCCTTTCCTCATCACTAAATGTGCCACTAAAGGTGGCAAAGCCAAAGTCAGCTAGTTTCATCTTGTCATTGACATCAAGTAGGGTGTTTTGCGGTTGTAGGGTGTAACGCGGTTCTAGTGGCAATACTGCACGCAGCCGGGATTGTCCTGTCATTACATAGAGGCTGTCTTCAGTCTCAGTGACACCCAACGGCTTCAGCCTATTTGGATGACTCAGGTGCCTTTACTATGACCTCCATATTGACAAGTTCCACGCCATGGAGGCTCTGATTGAACATCATTTTTTTATCGCTGTTTATTATTATTTTTTTCTTTTTCGTTCCTTGGCCAAATATCACCTGCTGCTAAAGGAATAACTTCGTGTCCTCTAAGCAGCTCTGGATCTCAACAAGCTGGGGCTTCTCTCGCACTGGCACTACATCCCTGTGGGCACGGCCAGACGCACAGAGGTTCAGGGGCAGTGCCTTGGGCCTTATTTGATGGCTACCTTGGTCCCCTATGACACTGCACCAGCCACTGCACTTCAGGAGCTTGCTATTGTTTAGCGCCTCATTGGACAAATTGCAGGTGGCACCCTGCTGCCTGGTCACCTCTATCTATGCGAACTCTTCCCTAGCTGTGCTAGGTAACTAGCGAACGCTGCCAGCTACACGACCTAGGCTAGGACCATTAACAGTGCTATGATTCCAGCTACATGCACCAGGCTAACAGTACCAATAATACTAACTGTCCTAAGAATACTGACTACACTATGCTGTCACTACTGACACACAGTCGACTGTACTATGCTAGCACTGCACACTGTGCTATGCTGACATCACTACCAGGCAGCACTGACTATTCTACGCTAGCACGACCGACCAATGACACTAACTGTACTGCCTACACCAACACTGCCGACTAAGGAGGAGAAAACAGTGTTGCTATGGTCAGACTACGGGTTCTCCAGCAGCTCACTGATCAATAAGGGAGGGTTATGGAGAGGGTAGGGAGGGGTGGGAAGAGGGTGGGTAGGGAGGAGCGAGAACAGGTGGGGAGGAGATATGGTGTGGAGGAGGGGAAGAGTAGGAGAGGGAGAGAGGAGGAAACACCAAGAGGGGCAAAGATTTCATCTCCCAGCAGGGAAGCTGTGGATTGCACAGGGGGCTGGTATTTGACCTTTCACTGTGAAGCTGGGGAGCAGGAGAGGGAAACAGAGGCCCTGAAAACTCAGGAAGAGCAGAGGATGTGGCTCTGGTGGTGTTACCTGTACCAGAGAGAGTTACCTAAGGCTTGGCCATCCTGGTGTGACGAAGTTGAGTCTGTCCCAGAGCCAGACATGCCCGTCACACTGAACAGACTCAGAGGGGTTCGTGGGTATGGAGGACGCCCGTTCAAGGTGGGCCAGCCAGTTCCAGAATGCCAGTGCAATCTCTGATTTTCGGAAGAGGGCACTTGCTTTCTCGGGGCCCTTCTTTATCAGAGGGGACATGGTCCTGGCCGAGCCCACTTCCTGGGGCATTTTTACTCAAGGGAGCCAGAGTTGTAGTGAAAGCAAGGCTCAGTTCCCGTAGAAGAGTGTGGTCTTGTCCTCTTCTTGCCTGGGACCTTGTCGAGTAACTCTGGCTGTGCTGAAAACCCTTTCACAGCGGCAGCCATGATTTCAAAAGCTTTTTCTGCTTTCAAGGCTGCTGTCAGGCCCACTCTGTTTCCTCTCTCCTCTCCCCATCGTGGTTGTCAAAGACCTTGAGGGCCAGGTTTCGAGTTCCACTTGAGCAGAATGAGGCCCCTTCTCAAGTTTTGGAGTTCATGCCAAACAGTGGTGGTCACTGGGAGATGAATTCCATCGCTAAGAGGCATTGTTCCTCCTGGGGGTCAGGATTTAGAGTAGTAAAGAGGACAATGACTTCAGACAGGAAGCTTCCTGGCTTCATCCATGTGGGTACCATGTGGCTGCAGCCTCCCAAAAGGGAGCTGGGGTGCAGGCAGGCAGGGAGCTCTGAAATGGCTGCTCAGGTGAGGGAAATGGAGATGGAGAGGAAGCAGGAGGAACAAGGGATCCAAAAGAGAAACATCATGCAGACAGTGCAGCAGGGAGAGAAACGCAGGGGTCACAAGTGACATGAGGCAGGCAGAGCAAAGAGCAGGAACTCTAACAAGTTTAAAGAAAGTTTGAAAGTAGAGGATGTTAGAGTCTTCACTGGCAGTGCTGATGGAAGTTCAGGTAGCATCAAGCAGAGACTCAATCTCTGGCAAAATCTCCTGGTCCTTTAATTTGTTGGACATCTGCGATAGCGGTCACTGAGTCCAAAAGTTCCACGAAACCTTGCGGTGACGGACAATTTTAGGGATGGTCGTATGCTGCCAGAAGTCTGAGAAGGCAACCGCAATGCAGATGACCATTGAGGGTCTGATCAGACACCTGGCGTCCCCGAAAATCTGAAGTCAGACTAAAATGTAATGATCTGGACCAGAGAATGGGCATCCCAAACTATGACTCAGATTGTGACTTTGAAGTCTTCTCCATAGCCAGGAGTCCTTGGGTCTGGGTGAAGACTGATAGGGGCAGTGCCCTCCCTGGAATCAGTGCTTAGGCAGCATGCCACCTCCATGGCAGCCTCCCGAGTGGTGGATCCAGGTGCTGGGTTTTTTTTTTCTGGACTAAGGAAACTAAGCCAAACTGACAAGCTGCCACTCTCCACGTTGTGCCTACGAAAATTTCCAAAGTTTCCGGAGACCCAGTGACTCACTGAATCCCAAACAGTTTGACGGCACTGAGAGGGATGTCCTAGGAATTGCAGACGAGGCAGCAGTATCAAGACTGAAGCAGCTCTTCTTATATGAAGGAGACATAATGACCTTCTCAGATGGGCAAAGGCTGAAGGAATTCGACAAGACAAGACCTGCTCTCCAGGAAGTACTCAGAACACTGTTCCACATGGATCAGCACAATAACCACCAGCGTAAAATTGTCCAAAACATAAAAGTCAAAGGCAAAAAAAAAAAAAAAAAAAAAAGTCAAAGGCCAGGTACCACAATGGCTCAAGAGAGAATCCAAAGTTACAAAGCTCAACTCAACAGGATGAACAGAAAGTTGCCCCACTTATCAATTCCTTCAATAAATGTGAAAGGCTTGTCATCTGCCCACTAAAGAGACATAGGCCAGACGAATGGATAAATATCCACAAACCAAGTATCTACTATCTTCAGGAAACACATCTAACCCACAAGGCTGCATTCAGATCCGAGGTAAAGGGACGGAAAAAATATTCCATGCAAATGGAAGCCAGAAGAAAGCCAGCTTAATGGTTCTGATTTCAGAAAACTTAGTCTTCAACAAAAGTAAAGAAAGACAAAGATGGTCACTATATAGTAGTGAAGCATACAATTCAACAAGAAGACATACTATTTCTAAATATTTTTACACCTAAATCAATTGCACCCAGATTCATAATCCAAATCCTACTTGATCTAAACAAAATGATAAACATCAGCAGTGTAATAGTTGGCTACTTGAACACACCTCTGATAGAGCAGGACAGATCCTCCAATCAGAAAATAAAGAAACAATGGGCTTAAACAGAACTCTAGAACAAATGGGCCTGACTGACAGTTACAGAACATTCTACTCAACAACCACTGAATATACGTTTTTCTCATCAGCTCATAGGACATAAGATTGACTATATCCTAGGCCACAGAGCATGTCTCTACAAACTTATAAAAGTAGAAACTATACCATGCATCTTCTCAGACCACAGTGGAATAAATTTAGAAATCAACTCCAACATGAACTCTCATCTCTACACAAAGTCAAGGAAACAGAAACAACCTTCTGCTGAAAAATTCTTCACTTAAGGAGGAAATTAGGATGGAAATCTGAAGACTCTTTCGACCAAGTGATAGACTACACACAAGTTATCAAGGTCTATGGGACATAGCTAAAGCATTCCTGAGAGGAAAATTTATATAAATGCCTACATGTAACGTACAGCAAGATCACAGAGCAATAATGTACTGAATCATCTCAAAGAACTGGAAAAGGATGAGCAAATCAACCCCAAACCCAGCGGAAGAAAAGAAATAACAAAGATAAGAGCAGAACTAAATGAAATCCAAAAAAACTGTATAGAAGATTAATATAATAAAAGTTGGTTCATGGAAAACATAAACAAAATTGATACACCTCTCACTCAATTAATCAGAAGCAGAAAAGAAAGTACTCCAGTAAGCTTAATCGAAAATGAAAAAGGAGAAATTACAACTGAAGCCACAGAAATACAAAATGTCATCTATGAATACTATAAACACTTTAAAATGTAGAGGAAATGGACAAACTCTTAGAAACACACAGCCTCCCTAGGTTCAAGAAGGAAGAAACAGAATTCGTGAACAGACCAATGTCAACTACTGAAATGGAAGCAGCAATAATATACTTTCCTAAAAAAAAATTCCCAGACCAGATGGTTTCACACTCATATTGCACCAGACCTACAGAGAAGAACTTGTGTTGTGTGCCCTACAGAAATTATTCCCTACAGAAATAATTCCCTACAGAAATTATTCCACACATCAAGAAGGAATCTTCCCCCATATGTCTTCTGAAGCCAACACCACCCTGTTGTGTGCCCTACAGAAATTATTCCCTACAGAATAATTCCCTACAGAAATTATTCCACACATCAAGAAGGAATCTTCCCCCATATGTTTTCTAAAGCCAACACCACCCTGTTGTGTGCCCTACAGAAATTATTCCCTACAGAATAATTCCCTACAGAAATTATTCCACACATCAAGAAGAAAGGAATCTTCCCCCATATGTTTTCTGAAGCCAACACCACCCTAATATCAAAGCCAGGAAAGGATTTATGAAAAAAGAAAACTACCAGATCAGTATTTGTTATGAATATATATACAAATCTTTGCAATAAAATCCTAGAAAATCAAATTCAGCTCATCAAAAAAATAATCCATCACGACCAAGGGGGCTTCATCCCAGAGATGCAGAGATGGTTCAACATTCACTACATAGATAGAAGTCAATGTGTCTGCAGGAGTGTGAGTGAACCTGGAAGTTCCTCTGAAACCATGTCACACTGAAGGAACCAGAGCCTCCTACAGAGGGAGAGAGGTGAGGGAGAGAGGTTTCAACGTCCTGGCTGGGTCTCCCTGAGGACATCAGTCAGTGTCCCTGAGCCAGGTTCTTCAATAAGAAAAGCGGAGACTGAGAACAACCACAGACACCATCTCAGGGCTGCTGTGGGCTACCTGAGACAGAGGGTGTGAGGTGCTGGACTCACAGAGAAAGCCAATTCCGAATTCAGGTGCAGAGGGTGTGAGGTGCTGGACTCGCAGAGAAAGCCAATTCCGAATTCAGGTGCAGAGGGTGTGAGCTGCTGGACTCGCAGAGAAAGCCAATTCCGAATTCAGGTGCAGAGGGTGTGAGGTGCTGGACCCGCAGAGAATGCCAATTGGCTTGGGGACCCGGAGAGTGAAGCTGGCTCTCCCCAGCTGTTCCTACGATCAACTGCCAACTCCGATCATGCAGCTGTGGAGTACACTTCCCAGAAGGTAGTGAGCTCCCTAGCACCACAGTCACTCAAGCCAGAGTTAGATGTGTGTCTTCCAACCCAGGAGCCACCAGCCACATGACTGCTTGCAATGTCGCTACTCTGAACTCCGATATGCTGGAAGTGTAACAGAAACACCAGATTTCAAAGACTTATCACACAAAAGAAATGTAAAATATTTCAGTATTTTATTTTGATTACATATTGAAATGATACTATTTGTCATAAATTAGATGAAATAAAATATCTTATTGAATTTAAAGCCATGTCTTTTTCACCTTTTTGATGTGACAGCTACAAAATGTTATGTTACCTGTGTGGCTTGTATTATATAACATTTCAGTTGGGGGGCGCTGGTGGAAATCCCGGGTGCTCCCAGTGTGGTCCTGGGGCGGCAGCACCGAGTCACCTGGGAACTGACCGGAAATGCAGAGTCTCAGGTGCCGCCCGGCCCC